GAATAAAAAGAAGAAATTTTCTTCTGAGGGTAGCCTCTGCCTGTGATGACGCTCCTTACGGGAACTTGCCTCTGAATAAATCACATGAGAACAGTCCTCATCCATTCTGGCATTTACTGGACCTCTTGTTTTTGCTTTGACTCCTATGAATCATTTCACCTTGAGCTTTCCCAACTAGCTAAAGACAAATGCTTGTCCCTACAAGGGACACACCCTTGCTGGTGCTATCTTTGTGGACAGGAGACTCTGGACCACAAAAATCTGTAGATGTGAAGATGTTCACCTTCCACAAAGTCATTTGCAATTTTATTCTGTATTTTAAAAGATGAACATATTATGGCATACAACAGAAGTTCCTATGACTCTCTAATCACTCCAGTTCCCATCATTTACTAACCTGCTGTCTTAGTTTTCTTTCTACTGCCATGATAAAGATCATGGCCAAAAGTAAACTGGGAAGGCAAGGGTTTATTTCGCTTACACTTCCACATTACAGTCAGGGAAGTCAGGGCAGGAACTCATACAGGCATCTGGAGGCAGGAACTGAAGCAAAGAGTGTGGAGGAACACTGATTACTGGCTTGCTCCTCATGGCTTGCTCAGCTTACTCTCTTACGCCACCCAGAACCACTTGCCTAGGAGTGGTGCCACCCACAGTGGAATGAGCACTCCCACATCAATTGTTAATCAAGAAAATATCCCACAGACTTTCCCATAAGCCAACCTAATGGGGGCATTACCTCAATTAAGGGTCCCCTTTCTCAGGTGTCTCTTGCTTGTATCAAGTTGACAAAAACCTAATCAGCCTTTATACTGATGAATATTCTTCCAGGTGAATGCTATTCTTCATTTCTTTTGAGGAGACATATTTAGAGTCCGCACAATTATAGTCTCTCTCTTACAACACAAACACAACTTATTACGCATATTATTCTGCATCCTGATTTTTATCTTAACAATGTGTCTTGAAATCTTTCTGTGCTGACACACAAATGGCTTCAGTGCCCTTATTCCAGTGACATGGTTCTATTCTTTGAATGTACAACATCATTTCCACAGTCATTAATTGGTGGGAATTAGATTGCTTCCAGCTTTGCACTATGTCACTGTAAATAACCTTACATCTATCATGTAAGGCTATCTGAAGCATAAAATACCAAAAGTGGAATGTGCATTTTTAATTTTAACATTTTCCCACTGTACAGAATTATATCAAGGTACCTTCTCACCAGCAATGTGTGAGAGTCCCTGCTCCTCTGCTGCATACCAATGAAGTATATTGTCAAAGCTTTAGGATTTTGCCCAGCTGATGGGGAAATATGGTATCTCATTAAAGCTAAAATGTACATGTCTTGTGTCATGAACGAGCTATAATACATTTTCATAATTTCTTAGAGACTTTCACATATACTTCATAATTGTGTTATATCATTCCTATGTCATAAATGATTTCCTGTGTCATTAAGCATATCTTTACAGCATGATGTGAATATATATATGATAAATGATAGAAAGAGATACACAAACAAATGATTGTTGATTGATAGCTAAATAGGTAGATGATAGAGAGAGGGAGTACAAATATAGATAAAGAGATAATGATACATAGATAAACAGATGATAGTCAGACAGACAGACAGATAATTAACTGATGGATAGCTAGATATATGTAAATGGTGATAGTTAATGAATGGATAGCTAGGTGATAAATCAATAGGTAATAGATGGGTAGATAGATATGAAAGGTAGATGGATGAATAAACCTCAAAGAGGGCTGCCCCTAGCTACATCCCTGGGTCCCCAGGAGGACGAGCTAGGTTTCTTCTACCACTTTCTGTTGATGTTTATAATCTGCAGTAATAGAAAATTATGCCAACGCAATAATGTCACAAAAATAGGGCCTTGGGCTCATCATGAATACTAATTTGCAATTGAGTCCCGCCTTAATTAGCAGCCCAGCAGCTTGTTTGTGGCTGATATAGCAAGACAGTGACCTAGCCCAGGGAGTCCTTTAAAAGTGGATTTGATTGACAAGTGTTGAACAAATATTACATGTGTGGCCAAAAGTAACTACCAGCTAGAGGAAAAATCACCAAGAAAAGATGAAAGAATAAGGAAGAAAAAAAAACTGTCTCTGTCTAAAGCATTTCCCCTTACCACTTCAATTAGACAAAAAGAGATATACAGTATTTTTCAAAGGAATGTAGCTAAGGCTCATCTCTCTTGCCTGTGCTGTATGACTGCATGGTGGCAGTGGTCCAGGAGGCACCAGGGCAATGCCCCTAATGACAAGGGAGACGAATGAGGTAATTTTTCTCCATTGGAGGACCTACCATCAAGACTAAGAAAAAGTCTGTAATGAGGAAGAAAAATAAGAAAGACATCCAAAGCAATTTAGGCAGCTAGGGGACTTTCAATGTCATTAATTCATTTATTAATTCTGGTCATCTGCCATTTCCTGCTAATTACAGTGCTATGTACATATTTGTGCTATAGTTTGAGTAAGACATGTCTATTCTGAATTCAAGTACTCCCTGTAGCCTTCAAAGGAGATTATGTGAGAATGTAGTGTCATTGTTTATGAATTACCTGGAGCTGCTGTGGAAATGTAAGTGAACATGGATATATTAGCTAGTATAAATCTACATCTGTGACAATTCTAACTGAAGGCTATAAACATATGGCCTTGCCGGAGCTGGAGAGATGGCTCAGTAGTTAACAAGAGCACTGGCTGCTCTTGCTGAGAAGCTGGGTTTGATTCCCAGCACTCACATCACGACTTAGAATCAACCTTGATTCCAGTTCCAGGAGTCTAACGCCCTCTTCTGGCCTCTGTGAACACTGCATGCACATAGTATATGTATATATACATGCAGGCCAACATTCATATAGGTTAAAAGAATTAATCTTTTTTGAAAAGTATGACTTGTCAATATTACAGCATTTTCTCTTCTTTTAAAACCTATTATCAGAGATTAGCTAAAATTTTACATTTGTTTTCTTTACTTCCATTAATAACAGCAATTGAAAATCAATGCTTGGCAGGAAATGAAAATAGAAAAGGAAAAGGAAAAATTAGAAAATATACATCTGCAAAACTTTTGGGATTTTCTACCTTTTTTGATTACTTCAAAGAGAGAGATGTTTCTGGTTTTGTTTGTTTTTTGTTTTGTTTGCCAAGCTGCTTTGGGTTTTTTGCCCAGAAATGTAGGCATATTTGTGGTTTGCTGTTGTGTTTCTTCTCCTTCTCCATACTCACTGCATTTTAAACACAGCCCAGACCCGAGCATCATCCTCGCAATAGTTGAGAAGCTGTTAAACCAAGAAGGAAGAAGTCATTGACATTGTAGGAGAGATGGTAGGATGAAATGCAAGACTAGTGGGACCCAGGCAGTATGTGGGAAAAGAATGATGGAGGCTGGGAATAATGGGAATGGGAATAAGAGAGTAGAATGGAGGAGGAAGTGGAGGGGGCAATAACTAACACTAAGATTGTTTGGAAAATCCACATGGAAACTTACTATTTTATAAGAGGGGTGTGTGTGTGTGTGTGTGTGTGTGTGTGGTTTAAATGTAGTTGCTCTCTATGGATAATGCTCCTCCAACATGCAAGAGGTTATCAAGCAAAAAATCTCAATTCCGGGAAGGGTATACCCCTTCTGAGTTGTTCGACCTGGGTCACAGGATAGGGAGAAATCAAGTTGGTCCTGATCTGGAAGCTTTCTCTCTACTGGCCAACTTGCATAGCAACGGAAGACCCTGTGCAGGCTACTGAGGGAGAAACGTCATCAATACCTGTGAACTCTGTGAGCTATAACAAGGACTGGACTGACAAAGTATACCCATGGGTACAATAAGGGTATGGATATTCTAGGGGTCACCAACCGCTTTCTGATTGGATATACTTCAAAGTACGGAACTTGTGCCTAGAATTGTAAACCTGTCCATGAACCAATAACTCAGGAGCTCACAGGCCCCTGAGCTCTTAATCATCCTGAGCTACTATTATTTTGTTAAATGGACACAGTATTAAACTGCCCTCTAAGTCCTTATCTTTGTACCCCTAGATTAGTACAGTCCTCAGCCCTCATCAGCAGAGCTGCCTTCTGCAATGTATGTGATTAACACTGGTACAAATGACACATCCTTAGCAGCGTCTAGTTAAAAGGTCAAACCGTGAATCCAGAAGCCTTAAGATGGGATCACCAATTCGGGATTCTTTTTGGAGGATGCAGTCAGCTTCTCATGTGCCTGCCCTCAGACTGGGAAGATAAAGCTTAGACAGGCCTGGGAGCATAGTGGCCCGTCAGAGAGCAGATAAGTGCCTGCAAAGCCAGGAATAATCAAATTGGCACAGGCTGGAAAGCAGTGGGGAGGAAAACACTGACCATAAATTGTACTTAGAAGCTGGGGGTGTGGCTCAGTGAGAAAGAATGCTTGTTGTATAAACATCAGGACATAAGTTCAAATCACCAGCACCTGTGTAAAACTCCAGGCTCGGCCATGTGCATCAGCAACACCAGCGCTATGTGTGGTGGATCAAGGCAGCAAGTCGATGGGATCGACAGAGCGTGCTGGTCCCCACCCTAGCTCCAGGTTCAGTAAGGAACAGAGTGTCAATAGAATAAAGTGGATAGAGATAGATCAGGACCCCCAATGTCCTCCTCTGACTTCTGCAAATGTGTGCACAAAGACATGCACACATTATATACACAACACACTCACACAAAACACAACACACCTCCAAGCACATTCATGCTGACCACTTACATAAAATGCTTTGTGCCTTTTTAAAATGTATTTGTAGAAGTCACTGGAATGAAAAATTCTGTGCAAGGAAATCCTTTCTGTAGTACAGAACAATATGGATGGCTTTATCATGTACTATATGCATTTGGCATAACTTTATACAAACAGCTGGCAAAAAAGTCTCCAGACACAACCCATTAAGGCAATTCTATTTACACGTGTAGCTAAGAACATTCCAATTAAAGTATTCACCAAGGGGCTGGAGAAATGATTAGTTAAGAGCACTTGCTGCTCTTGCAGAGGACCAGGGTTCGATTCCCAGAATCCACACCATAGCCCACAAACATCTATAACTTCAGTTCCAGAGGATCCAGCACCCTCTTCTGGCCTCCACAGACTTTGCACACAGGTAGGGCACATAAAATCATGCAAGTAAACAAACATCTGCATAAGACAAAAGCACAAACAACTCTTTGAAATGCCAAAAACTTCAAAGCTATAGTAGAACAGCAATTCCTTGTTTCTGAGCATGACTTTTTCAAGCAAATAAGACTAGTAAGTTATCAGAAAATCTATTATTATATTTCATTAACTTAATTGCTCAAAGAGAAGCATTTTATTCATCTTCATAAATGCCAAAATGGTTTGTTAAAATGCTATTAATCTCCTAAGGAAAAATGGCTCATATCAGAAATAACCCTGAACAACAACAAAAAAAAAAAACCAAAGAGATCTTTTTCCAACAGAAACAAAACAAGACTTGTAATAATTAGGAAGGAGTCAGGGTCTGTATGAAAGCAGTGAAAAATACAGGAAGTCTAGGACCGCACTGAATGATGCATGAAAATGTTTGAGAAATGTGACTTGCAAGATTGAAAACTCAGAAAATACGTAATTGTGTCCCCTCTGTCTAATATAATTCCATAAAGGTCTGAGTTCCTCAACCAGCTCCAAAAGTAAGTTTAGGTGATTAATAAAGGGAAACTTGGATGACTTAATATATATACTATTTACAGAAAATGTTGAACAAAAATAAGTAATTTTGGTATCAACAAAATAATGTAAAAGAATGAAAAGAAGCAACTTTCTTTTCCAGATATTGAAGTACTCAGTATTAAGGACAAAGAAAACAAACAAGGAATCGTGTACACACACACACACACACACACACACACACACACACACACACCACATATGTACACACATCAATACATAATACATGTACACTTTCATACCACAAACACGTACATATCACACACACATTTAAATACCACCCACACAAATTACATACACATCACACATTCACAAACCACATCACACACACACACACACACACACACACACACACACACACACACACACACACACAGTACAGAGAAACCCAAGTATATAAAATACTACCTAAAATATATAAAATATAAAATACACTAAAGACAGCTTGGCAAGTCATAAGGCTCATTATATATTTGTTTGAAACCTGAAAAACTCAAAGTATTATGGAACTCTGCACTAAAATGAGCTTGTGGATCTCTGTGTAAGCTACTATCACCTACCTCCTCCTGGAGAAGCACAGTGTGTGTTTGTACACCGGAGCTGTGAGTATATTTAAGCCCTCTTGCTTAAAAAAAAAAAGTTAGTTTGTTTTTATAGGTAACAAGTGTGGCTTAAAAGGCAGGATGGCTAAAAGAGTAGGCCGGAGAGGTTTCTCACTGTCTCTCTCCCTTTCTCCAACACCCACTCACTCCCTTGTGCACAACCACTGTTCCCAGTCTCCTGTGATCCTTCCAGGGTTTCCTTCTGACATCTAACAAAGACAGACATATGTTCTAATTTTGCTGTTTCTTAACACAAAGTATATCACACAAGCTATTCTTGCTGTTATCTGCTGTAGCAAGCCTTCTCACTGCTTCTGTACAGCTGCACGATATGCTTTTGTGTGCAAACCCCATCATGAGCTTAGGGAATACACTGCTGACTCATAGCAGGAGTGTTCCTGGGGTTTTGCTGCCTTTAATCATACTGCAGTTCATACTTTCCACTGTGATACATTGTAAGACTGATCACTTTGCTTAAATCTTGTGTTTCCTAAATTTATTTGACCGCAGATTGTTTTGTTAACTCTGTTAGCATCCTACAGGGATATTATTCTTAAGACATACTTTGAAAAAAATTCCAGGTTAAACATAAAGCCAGATCTCCTGCTAGCAAATTAAAACCTATATATCTTCCAAATAAGATGGGATAGAGTAGAGGCTCTCGCAGCATAGTGCCCAAGGCTAGAGCCAAAAATGAAACAGAGTGCTGGTTCTGATATAATTATAGACACAAATACAGATGGAAATCTGTAGCTAGAAGACAGATGCTAGATAGATAGATAGATAGATAGATAGATATAGATGATAGATATTAAATCTTATACATCAAGAAATTTAAGATAACATTTTCAAAAATAGAAGAAAATGTAAATATGAAATAAACTATTAATATAAATAAGATGGAAGAGTTGTAGCGAATTAATAGCAATAAATCAAGACCCTTAAAGCCTACATCTTGTGAAAGAATATAAAAATATATATTCCAAAAATGGAGACAATTTTCTGTTCATTTGATCGGCTCACACTGAACTTAATGAAACTACTAAGTATGAACGAGTTTCTGGGGCAGGTGAGAGCTGTTTGCAGAAAGATGGTTGGTCAGGGTCAGTATGTATCAAGGTCTCTAAATACGTGCTTGATTTGAGTCAACAATTGCACTCTTAGGAATTCTTGGTTTTTTAATTTTATGTGTATGGATGTTTTGCCTGCGTGTATGTCTGTGTACCATGTGTCCACCTTGTGACTGCAGAAGCCAGAAGAGGGCACCAGATCCCCTGGAGTTACAGGGGATTCAGAGTCACTTTGTGAATGCTGGGAATCAAACCCAGGTTCTCTGGAAGAGCAGCCAGGGCTCTGAACCACTGAACTACGCCTCCAGCCCACCCCCCTTAGAAATTAAGGGTAAAAAATGTGTACACAAGTCCTTGGTGTCATGATGATTAATTAGGTTGTAAATTAGAAACAAATATCCAACAATTATAAACTGGTCAAATAAGTAAGGAAAATGAGGCTTTTGTTTGCAATGTTATTGTGCAAACATATGAACATGGAAATGCACTTACGACATTCTGATCATAAATATTAAACAGGCTTCTAAGTAACACACATAGTTATGTCTATGCATAAGTCTTATTAAGCCACATGTGTACTCACAGGTTTCACAGGGAAAAGGTTGAATAAAAACAAGTTTAATGCTCAATAATTTTTTTAAGTCTTTGAGGCTGGGTAGTTAAGAATGCTACTGCTCTTGCAAAGTGTCTAGGTTTGGTTCCCAGTGCCCACATCAGGTGGCATATAACTGCTTCTAACTCCAGCTCTAGGGGATCTGATGCCCTGTTCTGGACTCCACAGGCATCTGCATTCACATGTGCACAGACACACACACACACACACACACACACACACACACACACACACACACAGAAAACACATATGCATAATTTGAGATGAAGTAAATCTTCTGGCCTCTGCAGCCACCAGGTGTACACATGCTCAATGTTTTGAATGTAAGAATTGGGAAGAGAAGGGAATCTGTGGTTGGTATGTAAAATGAATAGAAAATGTCTTAATAATATAAATAAATAAATAAATAAATAAATAAATAAATAAATAAATAAATAAAATGAGAATTTTAAAAAAAAGAATTTTGGTTTTGTTTCCCTGCAATCTTAATCCATGCCGATTATAAATCATTTCATCTACAACATTTTTAAAAACTTTATTGATCATTGTGTGTGCATTACAACCCACATGTGGAGGGCAAAGGACAACTTTCTGGAGTCCATTCTCTCTCTCCACGGTGGCTTCCAGGGATCCAGCTCAGGTCACAGGCTTCTGTGGAAAGCTCTTCCCCTTTCAGAGCTATCTTGCCTGCCCTGTGAAGGGGAATCTTGATCATCAACCTGATGAGATGCAGAACACCATGGAAACACACCTGAGGGTATGCTCTGGTGTTTCTGTCTAATAATAAGGGCCTTCACTTTTAGAATAAAACTATTGTCCCATGAGAATAAAAGATACCATAAGATGAATATCTTGAATCTGGAAAATAGAACCAAAAAGTTTTTTTTTTTTTCCTGAATTCTCAAGACATGGTTTTCTGCTGTTTTATTTTTGTGAAGAAATCTGACACGTCTAATTTTTTCTGCTTCAGATAATTTGTAATTTCTACCTCCATGAATTTAAGATTTTTCTCTATTATATATATTTTTACATATTATATATGTGCCATAAAATATGTTTAGAGATTTTATTGTATGTATATATTATATTTTTCTGTCATTGCAAAGGCCTTCCAATCTGCAGCCAGAGCTCTAATTAGGAGAGATTTCCTTCTAACTATCTAACTTCTGTGACTATCTGCCCCTCTCCTGCTTTCCTTCCAAGGTAGTAGTTAGTGTGTGTCCCTCGCCATGTTACTCATCTCAATCAATTTTTTCCCATTGTTTTTCAAGTTTCCAAATGAACTCACAAGCATTTCTGATGAACCCATAAGATCAGGAGATTATCTGTTGCTCACTGCCTCTGTGCACTGGAGTTCTGGCAGCCTGTTTGCATTTGAAAGCTGTATTTGCTGCCCTTTCATGGCTGTCAAGGCCTCTCAAATGTTGTTTTAGAAACAAACAAGGGCTTACTTTAAATTTCCATCTGCCCCTTGAAATAAGATCTTTCACAAAGAGACACTGACTTTTCCCCCAGATTGGTTCCTGCACGTGTCTGCCAAACACCCCTCCATTGAAGCTTTTGGGTCATCTTTGTTCAGTGGAGTCTAGGAATGGGGAGCTACAGTGGATTAAAATTGGAGAAGTCCGTGCTCAGAGCTTCCGGTCCTAGATGAAGAGAGAGTGAACCAGCTTGGCTGCCCTGTGGGTTCAGCCCTACCGCTGCTTACACAGGGATAGTCGAAGCCTTGCCCATTGATGTTTCCACCTCTTCCAGCTAACAGCAACTGGCCATCCATCCCTAAGCTGTTAGTTCCCTATTCGGATATCTACTGTACATCCCCAAACTGCTAAAAAGCATAAGGTATGACGGCACTCACTCTCTCAGCTCTGCCTCAGCTCCACCTTGCAGCCTCTGTACTGGAGCAGGCTCCTTTAACTTACCTCAAATGACTTGCTCTTCTAGCTGGTCAGCCTTCCCTCAGCCAGGTCCCAGCAGCTCACACTCTGAAGAACTTGGTTCTATCCAGTGGGTGGCACCTTGCAAGCATTTCCAGAGCTAAAATGAATATCGACATTTCTCTGATCACTGAAGGGACTAATTCGGACAGAAAGAACTAACTATATTGGGCTTAAACTAGAGCATGACCTTCACGTTTTGAAGTGATTGCTTTTACATTTCCAAATAGCAGCATAGCAAAGTAACTTACTTTAAGAACATCTATTTCACCTAGCACTGTATTGGCTCCAATAGTGTTCGAAATTATATGTTCCTGGGAATACAACCAGATGATTTTATTCCCAGGTTTTAGTGGAGATCCTTCCGGCTTACACCTCACGTTGTGCTGCAGAGGCTGGGAAGATTTACAGTATGGAATAACACTGACTCATTCACTGTCTTGCTTTTCTACCTCTGCCTTCTGTTCTTCTCCAGGAAGTTTGTGGTTATTGGGCTCACAGCTAAGCTCAGTGTTGGAAACTTTTCTGAGAAAACCGTTTCTCAGTAGCCATGTATTACATGGTTGTAAGGATACCTGATTTGATGGATAATTTTATCAAAATATGGGCTGGGGCTACAGCTCAGTTTGTAGAGTTCTTGCATGAAACCCTGGGTTTGGTCCCTGGCACCACAAAACTCAGTCCCGAGGTGCATCACTGTAACACCAGAACTTGGGAGGTAGAGGCAGGAGGATCAGAAATTCTAGGCCATTTCCTCTTGGCTACATAACAAATTTGAGGCCAGCCTGTGATACAAAAGACCTGTCTCAATTTCTTTTTATTTTATCAAAGATATGTCAGCATTTAAGACAAGTGTATCCCACCTCCCCATTATGGTGATATTTTATTTGTACTGAAATGTGATTTTATTTGTATGTTAATAAATAAGGTTGCCTGGGGGTCAGAGCTAATAGCAAGCCATAGCAGAAGTCTGGCAGTGGTAGCACACGCCCTTAATCCCGATCACATGGCAGGCAGATCTCTGTGTGTTCAAGGATACCACCAGCATGGAGACACACACCTTTAATCTCAATACCAACCATAGAAGACCTGGAGGTCTGTATAGATGGGCAGTGACGAGGACGTCATGTGGTTGGGTTTACAACCAATGAGAAGGCAGAACAAAAAGTCTATAAAAAGACAGAGACACAGGAAGGAGCTCTCTTGCTGAGGAGGACAGCAGCGGCAGTGAAGGGTAAGGTTTTTAGCGCTTAGCTATTACTCTGACCTCTTGGGCTTTCATCTCTGCATTGGTTCTGTGTTTCTTATTTAACAAGATGGTTACATCTACACCCCATGACTGAAAGTTGTTGTCTTTCCATCTCTGTGTCACTTGGGTAAACCTACGTTGGTCCTGCTTTGTGCATTCAATATGCTGATGACTAGTTGTATTAAAAATAATATCTATACCAGTACTGAAAGGTGGTAGTTTGGTGCTAGAATATGGCATTAGAAACTGGTATTTGAACACTGACACCAGAAATCAAGATCTGAGAGGCTGGAGAGATGGTTCACTTGTTAAGAGCACATGCTGCTCTTCCAGAGGACCCAAGCTGGGTTCTCAGCACCATGGCAGGCGGCTCATTACCACCTGTAAGTAAGCTCCAGGAAGCCAATGCTGTCTTCTGGCCTCTTGGAGCATTTGCACACACACACACACCCTTAAAAATAAAATATGTATTTTTAAAAGAAGTCAGGATTTAAGTTCTAAGCATATTGCTGTTATTTTGCCTGACTCTGGGTCTCGGGTTTCCTCTCCAATGTGGTAAGCACTGACAAGTGGAACCCACACAAACAAAAGCTCCTTAGGTTCTTAAGTAATATTTGTAGTAGTAGTTTCTCGTGGGCCACTAGCCCACAAATAATGACACAGAGACTTATTACTAATTATGAAACCTTGGCCTATAGTTTAGGCATTGACCCATTTATATTAATCCACGTTCTATCATGTGGCACTACCTCCCTTCCATTTTGCACCTCCTGTTTCCTCTCCTTGTCTCCTGGCATCACCTGTGTGCCTAGATTCCTCCTCCTACTTCCCCTTTCTCCCTCAGGAAGTCCCACCCATACCTCCTGCCTAGCTATTGGCCATTTAGCTTTTTATTACATCAATCACAGCAATACCTCTTCATCCAGTGTACAAATATTTATTAATGAAAACAGATCCTGACACAAACCTGCTGATATCAACTGTTACAGCCCTGCTGTCTCAAGAATGTTTTCTATCCCACTTTAAAATGGCATAATCAACAACTGGCTCTCTCCTGTGTACACTAATCATGACCAGTTACTAGTTCGGTGGCCTTCTTATTTTTAAACTCTCGGTTTTGATTTGTTTTTCTTTGTCTCAGAACATACCTTTCGGTAGTTTATTTACTCCACACTTAAAAAAATGATTCCTTGTGTATTTGAGACTATGTCTCTCTTCTATATAAATGCAAATGGCCACTTGACTGGGTATAGATTATGGAAATGTGTTTTTGTTTAAGCTCCACGGAGATTGCTTTTTTGTTGTTGGAAGCCAAATTTATCTCTTCTTTTATAACTAAACCTGAAATCTGTGCCCCTCAACACTTACAGTATTATATGTTAATCTAGAAAAGCAAAATGGGTTTGAAATATTAAGTCTTCCATAGCCAAAAACACACATTCAGTTTTCAGGCCAAGATATGCCTTAGCCTTTAACAATTTTAGTTAAATTTCTTTTGGCTACACATAATAGAAAGTCACTTTGGATTGGAAAATGAAACTTTAATTGAGAAAATGACCCTATCAGATTGGCCTAAGGGTAAGCCTGTGGTACACTTTCTTCATTGATGATTGGTGCGGGAAGGTCTAGTTCATTGGGCTGTGCCATCCCTGGGCTGGTGGTCCTAGGTGCTGTAAGAAAGCAGGTTGAGCAAGACACGGGGAGCAAGTCAGTAAACAGCACTCCTCCATGTCCGCTACTTCTGCCTTGAGTTCCTGCCCTGACTTTCTTCCATGATGGACCTGTGAGTTGGGTGCTGGAACAAATCCTTTTCTCTTCAAGTTGCTTTTGGTCATGATGTTTTATCACAGCAATAGAACCCCTAACTAAGATATTTAGTGATTTTTTTAAAAAATAGCTATTCAATATGACCCAAACGCAAAAAGACAAAAAACATAGGTTCTGTCTCGTATGTGATCCTAACCTGTAACATATGCATGTGGTACCTAAAATTCTTTCCCTTGGGGAGAGACACAAACAGTGTCTCCCCTCCTTCCGAGGCCCCAAACCACAAGCCAAGTAGTGTGTAAATACGGGTAAACTCCAAAAACCTTAAAGGAAAACTGAAAGAGTAAAAGTGGGAGGTGAGGAAGATTGCAGGTGGACAGAAGGACACATGGAAGAGGAAAGGAGATTGGAGGGGATTATAAGAGGAATTAGGAGGCCCAGAGGGGTGGGAGAATGAGAAGGAAACAGAATCTAATAAAACATATCTTGTTCAAAAATGCCACAATGAAGCCGAGTGGTGGTGGTGGCGCACCCTTTTAATTCCAGCACTCGGGATCTCTGTGAGTTCAAAGCCAGCCTGGTCTACAGAGCGAGCTCCAGGACAGGTACCAAAGCTACACAGAGAAACCCTGTCTCGAAAAATCCCCCCCCCTCCAAAAAAATGCCACAATGATACCTAATACCTCATGTAATAATTTGCCAAATACAAAAATTAAAACAAACAAACAAAAACCCCAGCTATTCATTTAGGGAATGATTATGAGGGATCTAGGTTTGTGCTGGTTCAGCTCAATTCTGTGGGAACATGCCTGTATTAAGCCATGAGTTTTCTGAATAAGAAGCCCTATGCGGGCATGAGGCTCTTAGAGGACTGCCAAGCAAGGTGGCGTGAATGAGTGGGCCTCGTGCCCGTCACCGTGTTCCTTCAGGTGGTGTCTGGATCCCAAAGCAGCGGGTGATCCCCGGCGGCACCAGAGCTCTCAAAACCTCTGCTCGTTTTACAAATGTTAGCAAGGCACAGGCCAAGAAAACCAGATAATACGTACACGTCATTGTTTTCGGTCGCTAAAGGGAACCTGAAATTTATATCTCAGATGGAATTCCAGAATTGTCGTGATTTTCCCAACATGAGTCAAGAGCTCATTTCCAGAGGGATCTAGAGTACGGTCACCACTCCTCTGAGCCTCAGGCTCCTGGTCTGAAAACTGGTAGTAAATACCTGCACCGTGGATTATTATGAGACTGGATGAGATGGTGTGTGTGTGTGTGTGTGTGTGTGTGTGTGTGTGTGTGTGTGTGTGTGTGCATGTGCATGTGCATGAGTGCAGATGTAAGTGTGGGTAGAGTCTAAACTTTAGAAGGGAGACCAAGAGAGGGAAATATTGGGTGATGAGAAAGGACAGAATGCAGGGAAGAAGACATATAGGCTATGAAAGAAGATAAAGAAGATGTAAAGCTAAGGTTTTTATAGATGAAGTCAACTTTGTGGGTGCTGAAGTAGCAAAAACGATTTCGGTGTCCACAGGACCTAGCATATGCCATTTCTTTGAGGCAGTAACTGTGAAAGTTGGACTTTCATTTTAATTCCATTGACCATTAGTGCAACAGGAATCGGACATGACTCTCATTGAATGCATTTATCATACTGACTCACTCAGAGGAAGAACTTTTTTAAAATTTTGTTCTGAGAGAAGAGGTTTTAGAGTTTGAAATTTTCCCTTCTTTCCTGTTTAAAACTATATCAAATCATTCCGTTATAGGGTTATTTAACATGCAAACTGTACTGCTATAGATAAAGTATGGTTTCAAAAATATACACATTAAGCTGGGTGTTTTGATGCATGGCAATTGAGGGGCAGAAGCCGGTGGATCTCTATGAGTTTTAGGCCAGCCTGGTCTACACAGGGAATTCCAGCCCATCTAAGGCTATATAGTGAAAACTTGTCTCAAAATTTAATATATATATATATATATATATATGTATATACTAATATTTGTCATATTAATACATATAACTTTGTATAATATATAATTATATAGTAATTAATCATAATATATATATATACATATATATATATAT